ACTTAAGAAAGTCATGAGTCCTTGAATAACAAGAGTGAAGAGAAAATCCTGGCAGCCTACTAGTGCTGTGGGGACCACTTGTGGGAAGCTGGAAGCAAAGACACTGCTTGGGACACCAGGGCCCTGACGTTAGGCCTCCCTGGCACTGAGTTTGGTTCTCACACCAGACAGCCCAATATCTGCTTAACACTTCACAAGGAAACACTAAGCACAGAGATTGTTCAAGTTCTTCTAGGGTCTGGTAAACTTCCTTTGTCATCCTGTGTCACTGCTGAGTACCAACCCTAGGGACTTTGCAAAAGTCTTTTCCTGTCTATGTAAAACACTGCAGGTACCAATTTTTAAATGCCATATGCACAAACTACTTTGCTACAAGTTAAAAATATAAAAAAGAGAATGTATTCATAGATGAGGTAAATGCATGACTGTTGGGCAAAAACATTACCTTTCTTTATGAAATATATACAAAAGTACCGTGGTCATAGTTAAGAGCAGAGACTTGCATGCCTGTCACTTACTAGTTGTGTGTCTTTGGGCAAGTTATTTAACTGTTTTATGTTTTGGCTTCCTGAAAAGTAAATGGATAAAAAGTTGATGGCACTTATCAGTCATAAAGATTAAATGAGATAATGTATATACCACACCAAGAACTTCCTCTGACACATAATACTCAATAAATAATAACAACAGCAAGCTGCTACTGGGTGGCTGGTCTTTGCCTGCTTGCAAGATGAAAACAGCACTGTATACAGAACTTGAATTTTGGAATCAGACTGGAGTTCAAATGTTGACTTTAAAACGTAAAATTTTTATACCACAACCATGGTGGTTACATTTTTTCATATCTGTGCTTACATGTTTTCATATCTAAAATAGGAATATAAAATACATCTATCCATCTACCCACCCACAAACATCAACTGAGTATCTACTATGTACCAAATGTTTAATAGCTGAAACAGAAATATGAATAAAATAGAGTTCTACCCTAAGGAGCTCACAGTCTAGTGAATATTCAAGACATTAGTTTTCTTTCATCTAAGTATTTCCTAAGCCTCCCTTTGCTTTAGGAAATGGAAAAATACAAGGGTCAAGCACGTACCTTAGGACCATAAGTACTATGATTTAAAATTTTTTAAAAAAGGTAACATTAATATTGTTGGCGAATGTTGGGAAAAAATGCAGTGTTTCTGAAATTACTACATTTTACTATTCTTGAAGTATTTTTATTGATTATGCTATTACAGTTGTCCCAATTTTCCTCCCTTTATCCCCCTCTGCTCTGCATCCCCCCACCCTCCAGTATTCTTCCCGCCTTAGTTCATGTCCATGGGTTGTACATGTAAGTTCTTTGGCTTCTCCATTTCCCATACTATTCTTAACCTCCTCCTGTCTATTTTATACCTACCACTTATGCTTCTTATTCACTGTACCTTTCCCCCATTCTCCCCCCATCTCCTCCCTACTGCTAACCCTCCATGTGATCTCCATTTCTGAAAATCTGTTCCTATTCTAGTTGTTTGTTTAGTTTTTGTTTTTGTTTTTTAGGTTCAGTTGTTGATATTTGTAAGTTTGTTCTCATTCTACTGTTCATAGTTTTTGATCTTCTACTTCGTAGAGAAGTCCCTTTAACATTTCATATAAAAAGGACTTGGTGATGATAAACTCCTTTAACTTGGCCTTATCAGGAAGCACTTTATCTGCCTTTCCATTCTAAATGATATTTTTGCTGGATAATCTTGGATGTAGGTCCTTGCCTTTCATTACTTTGAATACTTCTTTCCAGTCCCTTCTTGCCTATAAGATTTCTTTTGAGAAATCAACTAGTAGTCTTATGGGAACTCCTTTGTAGGTAACTGTCTCCTTTTCTCTTGCTGCTTTTCAGACTCTCATCTTTAATCTTGAGTAACTTAATGATGTGTCTTGATGTGTTTCTTCTTGGATTCAACTTTTTTGGGAATCTCTGTATCCTGGACTTGCATGTCTAGTTCCTTTGCCAGACTGTGGAAGTTTTCCTTCATTATTTCTTCAAATAAGTTTTCAATTTCTTGCTCTTCCTGTCCTCCTTCTGGCACCCGATTCAGATGTTGGAACATTTAAAGTTGTCCCAGAGGTTCCTAAGCCTCTCCTCATTTTTTTGAATTGTTTCTTCATTCTGTTCCAGTTGGAGGTTTATTCCTTCCTTTTCTTCCAAATTTTTGATTTGAGTCCCTGTTTCCTTCCCTTCACTGTTGGTTTCCTATATATTTTCCTTTATTTCACTTTATGTAACCTTCATTTCTTCCTTCATTTTGTGCCAGAACTCAATCATTTCTGTGAGCATCCTGATTACCAGTGTTTTGAACTCTGCATCTGATAGGTTGGATATCTTTTTGTTGCTTAGTTCCTTTTCTAGAGTTTTGATTTGTTCTTTCTTTTGGGCCATATTTCTTTGTCTTGGCACACCTGTTATATTGTAAGGGGCAGAGACTTAGGTATTTGCCAGGGCAGGACAACTCACTTCACTGCGTAGTGGCACTGTATGTAGGGGAGGGTCAGAGGGAACACTACTTCTTACTCAGCTCACCCTTCGCTTTCCATCCCTTCCCTCGCTTCCCAGATTGTGCCCTTTCAGGTGCTGCCTCCCAACTGGGTGGTTTTGTGTACATTCTAGGACCCCATGGGCTTCTCCAATGAACTCTCCTGTGAGGCTGGGAGTTTTTCCTCTGCCACAATCCCCACAGGTTTTCACAACCAGAGATTTTGAGGCTTTACTCCCCACCCCACCCCCGCTGGAACCCTGGGTTGTGCAGTCTCTCTCGCTCCCCAGCTGTTCCTCCTGATTTATCCACACACAAATGTGGGAAATCCCACCCACGCCTATCTCTGCATGTCCTACCAGTCTGGATGTATGTCTTCTTTAACTCTTTGTTAGACTTCCATGCAGTTTGATTTTCTGGCAGTTATGGTTGTTACCCTTCTTTTGGTTGTGAGAGGAAGCAAAGTGTTTCTACCTAAGGCTCCATCTTGGCTAGAATTCCCCCTGAAACTACTGTATTTTGCTATTTTAAGAAAAATACGATGAAGCAGTTGAGTCATTGGGAAGTAAGCACCTGCAGATGAAATGGAGGTCTTAGGTGTGAGGGGACCAGACAAAGCAGAGTCCCATTCCTGATCAGAGAAGAGGATAAAATGTCTTTCAGAGTCTGAGCTCTGTTCATAGGCTGGACTGTATAGTACACAACTTGCCTCTTTGAATGATCTTTTGAGACCTGGGTATCCTTTGAAGAAACAGCTTTCAAGTCACTGTCCGAGAAGAATCACTATTACATGATCCCTGGTCAACTACCTCCACCACCTTTTACAGCACCCTGCCTTGGCACACACTGTGGGAGATTATGGGAAGCAAGTTCTTGGTATCTCCTCTACGTCATCTCAGAAATAAAGCCCTATCCTAAAGCTTCTTATGGGGCGTGCTTATTTGGATCATCTCACGTGAGTTAGTGCTGAGACAACACCTTTTCAAATTTCAGTTTGCACTTAATAGCTATGAATATAAACTGCATACTTAAAACCTGACAGAAATTATAATGACATCTTAATGCATATACTTGAAACAATATTAAGTACATCAAGACATTGAATATCTTTAGAAAGTATATAAATAAGCCATTATTAAACATTAATATCCAGAATATCTTCCTTTATTCTATTAATACATATATAACAATACAACAATATACATTATTTAAAACCATGTATTTGGCTCATAATTAGCATAGACTTATAAAAAATTCATTTGGATGGTAGCTACAAACACACAAAGAATGATTCTGGCTTCTTTTGTGTATGTATAAAAAATATTCTAAAAACCAATATAACTTAAACAGAAATTAATCCAAAGCTATGTGAAAATTACCAGCAAAAAACACATGTTAACATCCATCTTAAGTTTTAACTGGATTATAAATTATGTTTCAAAAATCTTTACATAAAAATTCTAATACCACCATCCACAAATCATAAAGTATAACAACAGAGAGTATATATTTTTACCTAATCATTTTTTAGACTCAGTAAGAATCTATTGCTTATAGAAAATAAATTCAACAATTTATCCAAACATTGTTACATAAGAAGTTTTAAGAAACTGTAAGTAATTCTTAATACTCTCATTTTGATTCTCCGACTTTTCAAGACAATGTTGTATTTCTTTCAAACATACTTCCTGATGTTGTGCTTTCTAAATAAAAAAATAAAGATAATCAATTAATAACATTCATATTAAAGAATAATCATAATATAAAATTTGTATATACAATACTTGATTACATGATTTTAATTTTTTTAAAAGAAACAGTCCTAACATCAGATGTATTTATTAAAATCCAGAATAACTAAAGCACATACATGGATGATATTTACTGTGATATAATTTGTTGTAATACACATTCACTTATGCCCAAATTATTCCATATTTAACATGATTAACTTAATAAGTGGGTTTATTTAAAACTGTCATAATTAATTTCTCTCACATTTTAACATGACACTTTAATACTAGTTTTGCCATTTTTATCTGCCTAAGAATTCCTTTTATACCATTAAAATTGCTTTTGCTGTTTTAAAAATGGACAAAATTCTAGTTTTTATGCTATAAATATTTTGCTTTTAGAATCCTTAATATAAAGAACTCAATATTATAGGTGCTTTTTATTTGAAGAAAAATTTAAAACCTAATATATATTTTTTAAATATTCAGTTCATACAAATTTCCAAGTAGATCTGTTCTACTTGGAAATATTTTAGACAGACAGGCTGCAAATAATATTTAGCTTCCAACTAAAATGTAGGCACCTTGAGAAGAAAAATCTTTTCTCTCCTGCCCATTAGGTATTCAAGAATACTGGACACCTTCTGACACCGAGCAGCGCTCAGTGTTCCTCAGGTGAAGTCGGGTGGTAGGTACGAAGCAATGTGCTAGGCTGGGCTATACAAAGTCACAGAATGAACACAGGGAATCTTTGTGGAACATCAATTTTACTCAACATTTTGGAGGGAAAATACTATTACAAACACACATATTGTTGGGTAGAATGCAAAATGTGCATCTGTTCCAGGATAACACATAAGACTCCGATCTCATTTCAGGCTTCAGGAAGGGCGGCCTGAACCTGTGCATCCACTCTGCCCCCCACCGGAACACCTGGGCAGAGAGTCTGCGGAGGCCTGCTGCTGTGGACCGGGCCCTGTGGGAGACCCGGGGCATAGTCAGTCAGGAGACAGGCTCTCAGGGTGCCACGGTTCAACTGCAGCTAAGGAGTGTACACAAAAACAAACACTGAACTGCCCCCTGAACTGTCCCCTTGAAGGGACAGGATACATAAACTCATTTTTCAGCAATGTCTAAATCTATGCTTAGAATTCTAGATTTTCACTACTGTAAAAATTATCAGGTTTAATAAAACATTAAATCTTAAATCTATTCATTTCTGGCAGCCTTAGCCAAGTACTGGGAGCATTATAACAAAACCCATCTCAGCTTAGTGTACTTATTTTATTTTTTCAGAAGCTTTAAATACACACAAAAAACATGTATTTACAGTATCAGCAACTCTGATGGTGAGTAAAAAAACAAGTTTAGAAATAAAGAGAAGGCCTGTGCTAAATTCAAAGTGATAAAAATTAAACTAGTATTGCACGTCAAAAAAATCATTCAACTTTTGAACCTTTCAGATTTCAATTTTTCACACACTTGGGAATGAAAAATTTGTTTTCATGGAGTCTCCAGCTCCTGGAAAAAATAAAATATCATTATTTTATATGTCATTGTTAAGTAGAGAGTTTTCAAGTAATTTAGTCATGATTAGAGCTAGCTTTTCTAGTATCTAATGCCAGTTGGCCACTTCATGAACATTTAGGAAAAAATATTATAAGACTAATTAAACACAGCCAATTTGGTATTCTCATTTTGTGGCTGCGTGGACCAAAGCATCCATCTCATGTGCAGTTACAACAATAGTGAATATTTACTTAATGCCAACTTATAACTTTCTAAAATATAATATTCATTATTCAAGGCAGGTATCAAATTCTAACTCATAATAATTGCTTAAATTGTATCTATCTTAAAAAGGAAAAATTCATATAGAAAAAATAAGTAGATTATATCTGTAGCTTTCATTAAGTAGCTGTCATGCAAAAGTAATATGTAGGGAAAAGGCCTGATGAGGCTTTGGGGGAAATGCCATAGAAGCTTCGAAGAATGAGGATAATAATTTTGGCATAATTATGGCATAATACTGACATTTATAATTTTTGTAATTTATATTATTTGTTATTTATAATAGTATCAGTGAAAAAACAGCCCTGCCCTGGCTGGCATAGCTCAGTGGACTGAGCGTGGGCTGCGAACCAAAGTGTAGCAGGTTCAATTCCCACTCAGGGTACATGCCTGGGTTGCAGGCCATGACCCCCAGCAACCGCACATTGATGTTTCTCTCTCTCTCTCTCTCTCTCTCTCTCTCTCTCTCTCTCTCTCTCTCTCTCTCTCTCTCTCTCTCTCTCTCTCCCCCCCTCCCTTCCCTCTCTAAAAATAAATAAATAAAACCTTAAAAAATAAACAAACAAAAAAACAGCCCTGATTTCCCTTGCTTTGTATTTTAACTATTTAAGTAAACTAACAAGATAAGAATGTTAAATGTTAATTTATTTTTTTGTGAAAATACATAGCCAAACTAATACTTACACTGTTTATTTTGCAAACAAGTTGGTTTTGTTCTTCAATTTTCTTTCTAAGCTCAGTTTCCAGATCTAGTATTTTAATTTGTAAAGCCCTCTCTCTAGATGACATTTTCTCTACTTCTTCAGAAACCTGTAATTTTCATTAAAAGAGTAAAGTAACTAAATGTGCTTTCTTTAAAGTATGATTTAAAGCCCTGACATAGTTATCCTATACCTCAATTTTCCAAACAGATATTAACTGGATGCTAGACAATTTAATTAGAAAATGTTTAAAGTTGTTCTAGCATAAGGAAGCACAGGTAGTACAAGTATCTGCAAAAGGACCTCGGATAGAAGAGGGGTGTGCATTTGCACTGCTCTGTGTGACTTCAGGGGGTGTTTTCTCCAGCACAATATTTTTATACCTTACCGAGACCACTTTCCTTCTACAGTATTTGTATTTCCCATGGTGTCTAGAGTGGTGCTGGAACACAGACTGTTCTTATCCAATGCTGGTTATAGACTTGGATGGATCAGGGCAGGTGATATCTACACTTCACATACACAAAAGAGATTGATTTTTCATTCATTTACTTTCAAAGTGGTCTGAATTTGAGTTCTCATTTATCCCTGACTCTTTATTTAGTAGAAAATCTAGCTTACCTGTGTTCATCCAAGGATTTAGATATGTGGGACCTTATTTATAAGAATGTTGGGTTGGGGCCCGAACAATGAGAGCTGAGGTAGGAACTAGTTCAGGAACAAAGAGCTACTGGGAAGGACTGTCCTCTAATCTAACTCCTATGAATTTAATTCTAAGCTATTATAAAGTGATTTACAAAGATGTCCTGTGTACAAATTCTGAGGGTGATTGTGAGTGTGGCACACTGGCAGAATCTGAAGATGTGGAAGAAAGAGCCCTCAGGACAAATGTCCCCACCCTTGATCATGTCCCTCAGTGTGGACGATGGTGCAAGTGCAGTGACAATATTCCTCATGGGACAGGAGCTGGAGACAGCCCCACTGTCCACTGCAGCAGGAGAGAAAGGACAGGATGCACACATCTCTGGGGACTCTGAACACTTCTGAGTAGGAACCTGAAAGCATCTAGCATTTCCAAAGTCCACTTGGGCTAAACCCCAAATAAAGTCACTTCTTATTTTCCTCCCAAAGGCTGGTGGTGCTGAGCAATCTGGATTATAATTCTACCACTAGCAGTAAATTTTACTACTTAGCTTTTATTCAATGATGTGTCTTTCAATATCAATTTAAATTGGTTTCTCAGAGTTATATATATATATATATATGACACTTGCAGTGTAAAAGCCACATATCAAAGATATCAAATTTTACCTGACACATGTGGAATTGTCATTAATAAGTTGTGGAAAGACCACAGATGGAAGAGAGTTTAAAGGAAATGATTCAGAATTTGGTATTGGACATGTTAAGTTTGAGATGTTGCTGTTAAGTGAAGATGTCAAACAAGTACCAGAATGCATGAGGCTAGAATTCAGGGGACAGAGAAGTGGGGGGTGGGGATATCCATCTGAGAGTCATCAGGGAACAGATGATCTCTTTTTAGCATCATTCAGTCCTATGAGAAAACTCATCATCTCCATTTTATCAATTAAGAAACTAAAGTTCAGGGAAGTAACTTGTGCTGGGTCAGGGTATAACGTACCAGACAGAATTCAGATATATTTCCTGCTGGACACCAAAGCCTAGCTCATGTCCTTTCAAGATTATATTTTCAAATCATATCATACGTTTACCTCTTCTTTGAGATCTTCCTGAATCATTTTTCTTCACCCCTGGGTTGAACAGCCTTGCACCCTGCCTCTACTGTAGCGCCTACCTGCTGGATGACATTGGCTTGCTCACGTCACCTCCCTCCTGGGCCACATGTGTCCTGAGAGCTGAGGGCAGGTGTTAGTCATCTTTGCATCTCAAGGACTAGTACAGACACACAGTAAGATATTTATTAAATGCTAACCAGATGGGTTTAACTGGAATTTAGTTTTTATATGTGCAATAATTTTTCCCAAAAGGGAGTTGAGCATTACAGCTCACTGGATCCTAATCAACACCAAAGTGTTCAATAATTTTCACATTAGCTTTGGTTTTATTATTTTAAAAGGGAAGTGGAGGGAGAATATTCCTTCAAAGTGTTTTCCATCCCTACTCTTTACCCTGCCACATCATCATTATCTGGTAGAGCAACTCTGGACCAGTAATATATCTGTTTAACTGGAAAAGGCGAAAGTAGGTAAAAAACAAAAATGTAATTGCTCCCTTTACCCTGTCATCAGGATAAAAACAATAACTATAGGTCTGGCAAGATGAGACATTGTCTGTTTAAAAAAAGGACTCTTTGGTAAACTAATTAAAAAGTTTCTAAATAAAGGCCCTCTGTACCTTTTGTCTCCCTTCTTCTAAAGCAGCTTCCAGCTGTCTAGCCAATGCTGTATACTCTGCAGACTTCTCTTTAAACTGAAGATTGCTCTGCTTAAGACATTCTTCTTGGTTCTCCAGCTTCTTTTCAAGCTCTTTATTTTCTGCATCCATCTGTTCTAATTTTCTTTTTATAAAAACATATATTTTAAAATTATAGAGAAATGAATGTGACACCAATTCTAAGTCAACTTAATACTTACTGTTTAAGGTTTTCACATTTCAACTGAATAAGATAATTTTCTTCTTCCAGAGAAAGCTTTGTCAGAAGATTGTGATTTCCATCAAACTGAAAAAGAAAAAATTTTTTCTTAGCTATTTTCTTTATAATCAATTTCTGAAGAAATATGTAAGTGTTATTGTTAGAACAATCAGAAAAAATAAGAAGGTAGCCCTGGCTAATATGGCTCAGTGGTTTGGAGCATCATCCCGTGACCGAAAAGCTGTAGGTTCCATTTCCATTCAGGGCATATGCCTGGGTTGAGCGTTTGATTCCTGGTCCGAGTGCCTATGATCCCTGGTCTGGGTGAATATGAGAGGCAACCAATTGATGTTTCTCTCTCACACTGATGTTTCTCTCTCTCTCTCCACCCCCGCCCCCTTCCTCTTTCTCTAAAAGCAATGAAAAAAATGTCCTTGGATGAGAAAAAAAAATTTTTTAAAAGATATGAATATTATTATTACTCCTATACACAGAGACACCAAGAAATATTACATTGTTAAAATACAAGTTAAAAAACTATGGTTCCTCATGGAAAATCATCTACTACAAATTTTTCTGAAAGATAGCAATTAAAAACATTATGAAAAATGTTTTATTGCAAAAGGACATTTATTAAGTGTGAAGAATTTTAAAACTATAGAATATTTAGGGTTACTCTTATAGTTTTTGTTTCACCTAAATAGTGATTGATAATAGAATATCTGTGAGGTTGTAACTATGATTAAAAAGCATATTTCTGAATGCAAATTAAATTAACAAGGAAGTCAACGGAAGCTACACTTGCCTTTGCCTAGACAGAATGTGCTTCCCAATGCTTTAAGAGCTGTATTTAAATAGTTTCAGAAGCAGTGACATTTCTCATAATTTCAATTAGTAACTTAAGTTATCTATGTAATTTGACATTTTCCTAGAAATCTCTTCTCAAGAATTTAAATTCAGCAAAGTTTTGTTTGTATGTTTTTAAAAACAGGATGCATTTCCAAATTAAAATCCAAACTACGTTTGGAATATAGGAAATCATTCCTAAAAATGTTTTGCAAATAAAGAAAAATAGATGCTAACATCCTTGGACATGCTTCTATGACAAAAAAAAGTACTTGATTAAAACATATATTTATTAAATGCTTACCATGTGGTGTGTACAGAATTAGAAGATGGCTATGTGGTGACTAACAGGGCATCTGTGATCCCTGCTCTAATGAAGTAAAGAAATTTATGCCGAAAAAATTAGAAATAATCCAAATAAAGTAGATGCACTCTAATTAAAATAAATTACAATAATTTAGCTTATCCTGACATCAAAAAATATGTATGTAAACATGGCATTGCTCCTCCTCTTACACTATTACAATGTCCTCAAATGTCTAAATATAGATTTGTATGAGTAAACTGAATCAGCAATTCTGGTTACCATTTTTTTACCATAAAATACTGAAAGAATAGCTTGCAAAATAATATTACAGTATCTGCATAAAACTGGCATTTTATCAACTGATTCAGATGAGAGCAGAATAAATAACCCCTGACATGAGTGCCCTCAACTGGTGAAATCCCTCGCAAGCGTTTCCTTAACACATCAACAAAAGTGAGAATGACGGCTGGACACCTGACCCTGCAGCTCCCTAACGGTGTGGGCCTGGTCTGCCCATCTCCCCTTGCAGTGCTGCAGCCTCTCCTGACACTCCTGAAGCCTCCGTTCAGCCGCTGTCAAGGAATCGCGGATGCACTCTAACTCCTTCAGATGAGACTCCATCTGGCCTCTCATCTGAGTTGTAGCATTAGGGAAATAAGGGTAAGGATCAGCATTAATGTTTTACTATCTTAAATACTAGATATGCTTATAATACATATTTTAGGTATAATGATTTTAAACAAAGAGGTTCCACTAAATATGAATAAATATTAGGTTAGTCTCTGCTAAATAACATAAAACTCAAAAGGGGGCTATACTTTAATTAGTTTTCAAAAGGTTTGTTGAATAAATGAATATAGTAATATTAGCTTTCAGGGAGAATATTTAACCTACTTAGGAAAAGAAATTTTTGATTCCTGTCATTTATGTTCCAGCGTAGATATTACTAACACAGCTGGTATGGTTGTTTTCCACTATCCAGCCATCAGTCTGAAGTAACTGTCACTTTTTGTCATTCAACCTGTAACTCAGATATTTCGATTAAAGCGGCCTTTCTGCACTCATCTTAGTCCAAATCAATAGAGTTTACTGTATATTATTTCAAGAGAGCTAATATTATCTGTCCTCAGTAGACTATTTAATTGTTAATGTTATTACAAAGTAGATGCCTCTAATTTTATCTATGTTAATTTCTCTGGCTGCTGCAGTTCCTCAGTGTCGCACTTTTGAAGAAATGTGACAAGAAGCAACCCTAAGATATGCTTGTACTATTCATTAAGAAAAAAATAAGCAGACACATTGCACCTAGGATGTCCACAGGGAGGAAAAGCAAGAGCTAGCCTCTTTCCCTGACACAGGGCCGCTAGGCAACAAAAGATACAACTAGGACAAAGCATACCTCCTCAAACATCAAAGAGCCTGTGAGAAAATAAGGGGATTTAAAATAGTGGAAAAATAAACAGAACAATTTCATTAAAAAAATTACGTTTCTGGATTAATACCAGTAAGAAACCACTGTGACCTCACAGTACCTGAAAAACTCAGGCTCCTGCTCCATCTGCCTTTCAAAAAGGTTTTTAAAATAGGCTTTTATTTACAGTGCTGCCTAGCAAAAGAGAAGATACTTGCATTGGTATGTCTCCTGAGAAAAAGAGACCAAGAGACACACAATGATTTCTTCTCTAGTTCACTAAAAATAGGAAAAGCAATTCTAAGACAGTAGTAAGCTGCACATTGATGGGTTATCTATCTACCTCTGTTTAACGGGCAGAATGCCTGCTCTGGCCGACCCCTTCACATTGTGCCTCACTTGAACTTCTCAGTCCCGAGATACTGAGAAAACCCAGAGCAAGCAGTCACCTTACTATACTCAGTTGGAAGTGAAGAGTAACATCCCATGACCTCCCCAGCCAGGAGCTAGCGTCCTACGGCTTGCACTGCTTCCTTACCAAACATGAAAAGACCCAAAACGGGATGCGGTTTCATTTAAGAACTTAAAAATATTCACAAAAACATCATAACCTGCCAAACTGGCCTTCCTCTCATTCTGTTGCAATAGGGTGAAAAAAAGGAAATGATGGGTTTTTTTAATATTATTTTTCTTCCAACAAAGCATTTAGAAGAGAATATTTACTTTGCTCTTTTAGACACAAAAAACCTACGACCAGAAAAACAAGGTGAAGTTAAAAATTAGAGGTATTCAAATTTGCATACTTATGGTTGATGAAGCTCAGTGAGAACCATTTTTTTGAGCTATGTAAGTCTGCTCTTGAGTAAGAAAAATTAAATGTTTATACTATTTTCCAAATATCAAGGAAAAAGTGAAAAAACAGTCATACAAACAAACACCATTTCAAGGCTGGAAGAAACATTATTTCCTCAGTAAACAAACTCCTACAAAGACTGAGAACAGATAATTCCTAGGTCTAAACTTTGAGAAAATGACTATAATGAAAGATATTTGTATAATATTCATAAAGTATAAAGTATAAATCAAATATTATTTTATTATTTAAAATGTCAAACTTACCTTCTCTAATTTTTTATTTTTGTTTTTTGTTATTAGGTTATTTTCACTTAGCAAATTTTCACATCTGCTTTTCACCATTTCAGCTGCTTCTTGCAACTTTTGTATCTGAAAATAGAATATATTGTTAATATATTATTTTATTATTAGAATGAAATAAAAAGCTAAATACTTCAATTTCAATTTTGAACAAATTATTTCCCTTTCAATACCTCAGCCTGTTTATCTAATGTTATTCTTTCCTTAAATATGGGAATCACTCAATGCTCTCCTCTAATCTACAATCTTTTTATGGTTTAACTGTCTTTTCCCATCAACACTCAAAGACTCTTCTCTTGAGTTCTGAATGTTAAAGAGATCTTCATTTGCCGGTCAGAGTCACAGAGAATCAGCCTCTGGTTCAAAGTAGCTTCCATACCAATTATTTTGTCCTCCAAATCAAAATCTGCCCAAAAGATATCTGACTGGGTACTATATGCAAGGCCCAGAGCCTAGAATATGGTAACTCACCCAAAATATTCCTGCTAAGGGACTAAACCCAAGCAACCGGCTGGGAGACCCAGATGACGTTCTCAGTACCGTGAGCTACCACAGACCACCACCGCCTCCACTCCCACCCCCAGCCTGGATGGCTCACTGGACAGCTCACCTCCATTTTCCCACCTAAACCACCCACCTGCAGCCTCTTCCAACTTACTTGCACTATGCTCCCCTTAAGCTTTTACCCTTAGCTCGGTACTCTTCAATTCAAACATTTGCTTCCAGTGAAATCTAACTCTTTATCGAACAGTTTGTTACCCATCACTCACAGACCTGCATAAATCCCATCTTTCTCACAAAGTTTTTTCTTAAATAGTACATTTCCAAAACATAAGCTTTTCTATAAATTATCATTGAATACATGTTCCATTCCATATATATTATCATCTGTCCTTTCTAGATATTTCTTAGGAGTAAGTCTGAATTACACTTTATTTATTGGGAAAAGGGGGGTACTGGGCTTTAATGGCCCTAGAAAAAAGCTGTTATTCTAAATCAATACCATTAAATAATACAAGATGACAAAAAATACAAACAAGGTTAACAAAATTATACACAGGTTTACATTACATCTACGTAATTAATTTTACATCTACTTTTAGAAATATCCAACCTACGTAATTAATTTTAGATCTACTTTTAGAAATATCCAACACATACATAAGCAATGTTTGCAATCAGGAATCAGCAGAATCATCTATTTATAAAAGTATTTAGGACATTAAGAAACATTTAGAACATAATATGTTCTATCACAAATAATAGCTTCACCTTCAGTTCTGTTTATTTATATCTTAAACAAATACAGTGTTTTAAATTGTCTACCAAATTTAACAAACTTTAAAATAAATGCAGTGGTCACCTGAGTTTTATATACTTCAATGAGTGTTTTCTGCTGTTTTTCTACTTCTTGCAATTCTGAGAGTTCATTTTCAACAGAAACAACCTCGTCCTTCAAAGTAGCAAGTGTTGTCTAGCAAAAAACATATAAATAATATTACAAATTATTAAAATTCATTTGTACTACAATACTATAGGATTATAAAAGCATAACTCATTTACCAACAAAGTTAATAAAATAATTATTTTTATTACATATGATTATCTAAAAAATTTAAGGATTTCAAAAATTAGTGATACTTATAAACAATTTTCAACAGCTTATATAAGTAAGACATAGTTTTAAAATTTAAAGTTTAGTAACAAAAAATGACTTGGAAAACAGACTAGGTTCCTAACTGGGAAGACACAAACCAGTTTTTTCCAAATCAATAAAAGTTTAATCCAATTTCAACCAAAAGTATAACAGTTGAGGTGGAGGGGGGTGACAAGATTAATTTAAAATTCACATGGAAAAATAAATGAGTCTTTCCTTTATTAGGAAAGACTAATAAAATTGTGAAAGGAATACTAAGCAGAGAATGTCAGTACTTATTAGATATTTAAATGTATGAAGAACTAAAATTAAGATACTAAAATAAGACTATAGAGGTTGATAGAATAGAAAATGAAAAGTAACTAAAATTATATTTAGTATATGACAAAGGTTGGATTTTTAAGTCAATGGGGAAAATATGGGTCAGTCAACAATGGTAGTAACACATTGTTTAACTGTTAGAAAAAAACAGATGATTTGCCTATATCCAACAGTATTTCATATTTGTTAAAAGTGAAAAACAGAACTATAAAAATTTTCATAGAAAATATTATCAGATATATATGTAGCAAAAAAACCCTACTAACCATAACAACAAAAGAAGATACCAAGAACTATAAGGATCTGAGACTTTACTCTCTAGGTTCACAAGTTAGCTTAGCATAGTTTCGTGGATGCCTAACAGCAGGCACAAGACTCCCAGGTCAGAGACACGGGGCTTTATCACTCCCGGCAACAGCAGTAGCCAGGTGTCAGCATTTGTGTTTGTCTCTAAGCCCCAGTTTATACAGGGCAACACAAAAAGGCTGCCAGATGACATCTGTACATATAGTGGAACGCACAACAGAAGAGCAATGCTGAGTTTAGGTACTCGAATCTCTTATAACAGGGAGTCATTATGTCTACCCTTTGGTAGAAGGAAACATTGCTATGTTCCAAGCATTTGGAAGCAAGCATCGCTGTCTTTCTCTACATATACATCCTTGAGAAGACAGTCTGGATCCACAGGTAGTCAGTGCCTCTGCTTGCACGATGTGCAGAAATAGAGAGACTCCCAACAGAAGCCGTGAGAATAAAATATATATATATATATATATATATATATATATATGTATATACACATAAATATACATACATACAATATACACATAAGTGTATATATATCCAAAATTTCAGAGTCCCCTCAAAAGGTTTAAGAGGCAAGCAAAATTTGAAAAAAGTAACAAATTATGACAAAAGATAATATCCTTAATATATGGAATTCTTATACGTTAATTAGGAAAAAGGACCTAAAATATAATGAGTAGGTAACTCAAAAAGGCAGAAATATGTAACATCAGTGAATACATAAAAAATGTTTTCTACTCATTAAAAAAATGCTCTAGAGACTGGATACTCTTCTAGTGAAAAAGACAAAAACTCTTTCCTTCGTGGAACATACATATTGCATGTATAAAGAGACAAAAACAAGGGGTAGATGGGACCAAAAAAAAAAAAAACCCAAACAAACCAAGACTAAGAAGTGAAATATATCATACATGAAAGCAAGAGAGTAATGAAAAGTTGGAGGTGGGCCAGAGAGGCCTCCTGAGAAAGGGACTGTTAAACAAACACCAAAAGGAAGTGTGGCTCGGAGGGAGGAAGAGTCCTGTTGAGAAAGGCGATGGTGGCCTAAGTCCTGACCAGTCAGGGAAAAACAGCAAGAAGGCCATGTGGCAGAAGGGAAAAATGAAAGGGAGAATGGGAGGAGATGAGGTGTGAGAAGTAGTACAAAGCCAGATGGTGTAATGCCCCATAGATGTTTACTCTATCAACCAAGATATCACTGAAGGGTTCTGAATGACATGGTTACATTTCTACAGAAACTACTGCTATACTGAATGCTTACTGCAGGGTCAAGGACAGAAGCAAAGAGTTAGCAAGTCAGTGTAATGAGCAGATGATGGTGGCTTGAACCAGGATAATGGCAGGGGTGCCGGTGAGAAGTGGTCCAAGCCTGGGTATATTTGAAGTAGATCTGCTGACAGACTCGAAGCAGATGTGAGAGAAAGGAGTCAAGGATGACGCCAAGTAAAAGAAAGGGTGACTGCCATTGAATGACATGAGGATAGTATAGGAGAAACTATTCTGAGGAGTGCAGGAGGTCTATTTTGGACAAAACCTTGCAATGCCAATTAAATGCCCTAGTGGTGACTTCCAGTAGGCAGCAGAATATATGTATGGACAAATACAGGGGCAAAGCCCAGGCTAGAGATGTAAACGTGTAAGCTTCTAGGATGTAGATGCTACTTAAAGGCCCAACAGTAGATAAGATCACCTATTAAACCTGAAGAGATTAGTTTTAAATTGCTTAATACTAGAAAAATACAGGGACCCATTTATGATGGATAATTTAGAAATATATAAACCCAACATTAAAAATGGGCCTCCCTTTGACCATGTAATTCCACTCTAGAAATTTATCTGAAGAAAACAGATATGGAAAAAGATTCAAAGAAACTACTCACATTTTTTATTACAAAAAAAACATGGAAGTAGCTCAAAATCCCAAAAGTTACATATATCCTAATATAGTAACTTTAGTTATCTCTGTTGTGAGCTTCCAAGTGATTTTTATTTTTTTCTCATTTTGTGCTTTTCTGTTTTTCCAACATTCCATAATAAATAACTAGAACTTTCTAACCCTCCAAATAAAATTTTGGTTTTTTTCAATAGAGGAGGTCACCAGGCCTTGGAAGCAATATCAGCTAACTTCTTTTTTATTTGAAACTTTAAAATCTAAAATTATTTTGAAGTCATTAAAAGTAACAAGACATGACATCTAGGCAGTTTTACATTACAAATAACATATGCCAAACATACCTCAATTTTTTCTTAAACAAAATCCAGAAAATAATGTAGTAAAAGTACATGTTTCTGAGTTATTAAGAGAAGATATAAACTTTAACAATGACTTTATACCTATATAATTTACAATTAATTCCATTACCATGTAATTAAAAACTAGATTTATAATTAATGAAATATCCTTCTAATCCTTTCTCCCTGAAAGATATTGAGGAAATTAAGAAAATAAACACAATAAATAAAATTCCCTCTTCCTAGATGAAACATTTATAGCATTTATTCAATAAATATTCATTGAGAAATAAGTATATGCCACACCTTCCCTGGGCATCTTCTGCATACAAACATGGGACCTTATAAGGAGAGCTTCATCCTAAATGAGAAGATTTGGGAAGGGGAGTAGATTTTGAGCTGACCTTTAAAGGAAAGGTAGAATTTAGATACTGAGAAAAATAGCATTCCACACTGTAAGGCTAGTAAAGCTATAGGAATCGATATAGAAAAACATGAACAAATGGCATGAAATGAGTATTCGTATTTGGTTAGAGCTCAGGATAACAGTATACTACTTTTTCTCGTCTCCCTTGCAGCTATGTGGGGTCATTTGCCTAAATAAGTAGAAAAGCCTAGTGGTATGAAACTTTCAGCAAGCCTCTCTAAACAGGAAGAGTTGGAAAAATGAAAGGGAGATAACCCATCATTTTTCCTCCTTTCATCTTGATGCTTAAAACTTGGCTACAATGGCTGGAGCTCCAGCCGCCTTTTTAAATCATGAAGATAAGATTCACAACCTAAGAATAGCAGAGAGCTAAAAACAGAGGCTAGGTTACCTGATGCTGTATCAGCTTTGAACTGCCAACTCTGGCTTTGTTTGACATGAACAGCTTCTTTTCTGTTTTCTATTTACTGTCCTCAAAATTAACATTATGAAACTGAGAATGATGCCATTGCTTTTAGTCAGGTCTCATCTGGCTATGTGCATCTCTGATTGAGAACTCAAATTGTTCTCAGAAAATATAAAAGCTTCCTCCCCATCTTCTTTCTGGTACATGTACAAACCAATCACCCCTTAGATTTGATTAAGTTGGAACATTCTTTCTGGTTATGAAGCAGCCAAGAACATACTTTCTGGTTTTAAACAGACCGTAGCTGAGGTTATATTCTATCATACCATGATACCTAGAAATAATCTCATGCATTAAAGTTAATGTAATTTTGGATTGTTCACTTAGCTAAAATTGGAAAGTAAATACATTTTTTTAGGTTGAGACAAAGAAACAGTTATTCAACTTCTTAAATCTTATTTAATACTGCTGAAAACAATTTTAACATATATCTTTGTACATAACTTTAAAATTCAATACCTATTTACAAATGTGTGTGTATGTGTGTGTGTGTGTGTGTGTGTGTGTGTGTATGGAGGTTACCTATTATAATGACACTTTAATACTCTGAGAAACATAAAGGACAAAATGATATAACAGCATTACATTAAACATACTGTTATTCCAAACTTGTACTAAGAGAACTAAGTTGCCATTACACAACACACACACACACACACATAAACACATAATACCTTTAATTTTGTATTCTCAAGATTCAGACTTTCACTTTCATATTCAATTGACTGAAGTTTTTTAAGAATCTCTTCACATGAATTTTTTCCATTGTCCTCCATTTTCTTCAGGTCTTCCAAAAGATTATTGATTTGCCTTTATTAAATAAATGATATATTTTGTAAGATCATCGAAATTTTCACCCAAATAATAAATACATCATAAGTGTGTTTCTGAAGTTATTTTGGTAGATCCACTGTTTCAAAAGTTAACGGAACTCATGTTACAAGGGAAATAGGGAGCAATCATCTATATAAAGTTCCTACCTAGGTAACCTTGATTAGAAATAACTACCCATTGATAATGCCAATGAAAAATTATACAATATTCTCTTTGTTATTCAATAAAACATTTAAACTATCATCCATAGATATGTCTGTCTCTCATTCACACACATAAAATTTTGGGGCAAGATTAAATAAAGGATCAAGTGAGACAATAATTAATCTTTAAAAGCAAATTATACATACTAGTTTTCAATGATAATAATGAAGAAAATAAAACATTTAAAAGCAAATATGCAGAGTTCACTGTTTATCAATAATATATTTCAAAACATAAAATATATGTATTTTTTATAACTCATTTTCTTTGTTATGCACTTAAAGTGTTTTAAGGAATAATAATTTTTTGGATTTTGAAAGCATTTATGCTTTTATTATAAACTGTAGTATGATATATTCTTACTTATACATTCTTGTTTAGTAGAGAAATACTATTTCCACTTTAAGACAAAGTTAGTGTTAACATTTACTACAAATAATAGATGACATATAGTCAAATATCAACTATTAACTTAGAAGTTCAATTTTTTCAAAATGTGAACACCAATGTACTTTTAATGGGTGACCATTTTTGTTGTATTTTTAAAGTAAGTTTATAGAACTATAAATGGAAAAATATCAAATCATGCTGACAACACCTTTACCACTTGTAATCCAGAAGGACCAAAATACAAGCCACTTAAAGGAAAGATCTGAAAACACTTATTACACAGTAAAAGATTCTAAACTTTCTCTTACTTTTTCATTGTCTCAATCTGAACTTCCAATTCAGTTTTTTCTATTACAATTTTCTCATAATGACTTTTCCAGGCATTGGAAGCTGAAATTGCTTCAGACAACTTGGCTTCCTAAAAAATACATGAAGTACTCATCTTGTAATTTAATAACACTTTGGTTTTGTTCAGTCCCCTAATCACAAATATGTTATAAACAAGAAAACATCCTATAAAGCACAAAACTTTTGTTATAGAAAATTTCAGTGCACAACTCTGAATATAGCAGGATTTTAAAGTAAACTTTAATAATACCTTTATGTTACTATTATTTTATAAGCACATAGTGACAGTTCCAACTTAAAACCTTAAGGCTGTTGCTGTAATTGTTTTCAAACATTTCCAAATTAATGAAGAAAATTCCCTACTGACTGCACTCTTCATTTTTCATTCTATATATAGAAGGTACTAACAACCACATAAGCATTAGAGGAGAAAGAAGCCCCCTGGTGTACATGGAAACTACCTGCAATTCCATAATTCCGTAGCATTTAATAATGCAGCCTTATTTCATAATGATATCTATCCGCTTTGTAGAGGTCACCCCCACTGGCCTTCAAACACTGTTACTGTTAGCAAAGAGATGAAAATGGTAGTGGTGGCTTATGCACTTTGAATGTGAGCTCCCAAGGTAGAGATTTTTGTTTGTTTTGTTCATTGCTAGGGCCTTGAATATTGCCTCACACAGAGCAGACTCTTAATAAATGTCAAATGAATCTACTCTTTACAAATCCACCTAGTGAGCTGTACAGCCATTGTCCCCATTTGCATTCTACAGAAAAACATATTCACTGGCATGACAACAGCGCCAATAATCATTAATCAGAAGATCCAGAAGTGCAGTAGTCCCTCTTTATTTGCAGGGGTTCAGTTCAAAGGCTCTGAGTAGATACCTGCAAACACAGATAGTACTGGGCTCTGAGTAGATACCTGCAAACACAGATAGTACTGAACCTATTGCTACACACACACACACACACACACACACACACACACACACACACATACCTATGGTAGAGTTTAATTTATAAATTAGGCACAGTAAGAGATAAACAACAATAATTAATAAGAGAATAATTATAACAATATACTGTAATAAAAGTTATGTGACTACCCTGACTGGTGTGGTCAGCAGGTTGGGCATTGTCTTGTGGACCGAAAGGTCGCTGGATTGATCTCCAGTGAGGGCACATGGCTGGGTTGTTAGGTCCACAGTTGGGGGCCTGCGAGAGGAACTGATCGATATTTCTCTCACACATTGATGTTTCTTTCCTTTTCTTTCTCCTTCCCTTCCCCTCTCTTTAAAAATAAGTAAATAAATCTTTTTTAAAAAAGTTATTTGACTGTGATATCTCTGGTTCTCTCTCAAAATATCTAATTGTACCACACTCATGCTCTCTTCTGGTGATGATGTGAGATGTAAAGTGCCTTATTAAGTCAAGAACTTTCACTTTTCACTTAAAGAAAGAACTTTATGGCTTCTCTTTGACATATCTGAACTGCTAGCATCACTATTCTTGCATTCTGGGGCCATAAAAAAGTAAAATAAGGGCTACTTGAACACGAGCACTGTGACATCGTGCCAATCAATGTGATAACCGAGGGCTAAATAAATGACTACACGTCAGGGGGCGTGGATATGCTGTACAAGGGATGATTCGAAACCCAGGTGAGGCAGAGCTAGATGGTTCAAGACTTCAGAACAGGTACAATTTAAAATTTAAGAATTGTTTGTCTCTGGAATTCCGATTTAATATTTACAGACCAGACCACAGTTGACTGAGGGTAACAAACTGTGGAAAGTGAATCCACAGACAAGGAGGGACAACTGTAATAACAGTAACCGTGAAGATTTATACAGTGCTTCCTCCCTTCCTTCCAGCATTCATCTAATCACTGAACAAATACTTATGGGTGTCCTATACATGAGACATTTTTTTATTTATATTTTTACATTTACATTTTTGCTACATTGAAGACCAGTATTTTATTTTCAAATTCTATGTAAAATAAATTTTAGTTAAAAAATATATGTACTACAATGTTTAAGTTGGATGATTATGTTATAAATTAAGATATTTGGAAATTTTACCTATGAAATAAATGCTATGTAGAAAATTTAAGACATGATATAATTAATTGTTGTGGAACTACTTCAAAAGAAGTGGTCAAGGAAAGCACTTCTGAAGAGATGTCAATTTAAATGATACCTGAATGATTAAAAAAGAACCACCTACTGTGAGACAGAGAAGAATTATAGCCAAAGGCAACAGCAAACAAAATAGAGAAACAAACAACATGTATTAGAGGGCTAGAAAGGAGGCTAATATTGCAAATTGTAGTATGGCCACAGACTGTGTTTTGACACATATTTTCTGTTGTTGTTTTTTTTCATTTTTTTTTCCCTATAAACATATGAGATAGGCAGTATTATTATCCCCCACTTTAGAGATAAGTAAGCTTAGAAAGGTTAAGTACTTGACTCAAAGTCACAAGGTTAACAAATGGAGGAACCTTCCTATACCACACCTGGGGCCTGGCCTGGGTGATATGTGGGAAAGTCCCAAGAATGTTAATGACTTGATTAGTTTTTATCACTCACGAACATTTTCAGGCATTCAACTGTGTCTACAACCTTCTGGATTTTGAACCTAGCCCTCAATTCTTTTATCTAGTTAAATTCGTCTGAATGTAGGTAGGTTAAACATTAGTCTTAAAATGTTAACACTTGAACTCATAAAATTTTAAGTTGTTTTGTTTACATAAGTGTTTGTGCAAGTCTTCATTTCTAAAAACCTCTAATAATTCTGTAAGTCTTAACATAAGTTTCTAAGAGGTAGAATACCAGTGAAACATTAAAAAGAGTAAATATTTTATTAATTGGTATTTGAATAAATATAATAATTCATTAAAAACAACAAAGCACTAAGTCCATTTTCAACTTTGTACTACACACAAAGATAACTTTCACATGGTGTATTTACGTCAGCGGATAGTTTTAAATGCATTACAGAGTCTACATGAATTGCTGAATAAAGTCATATGGTCCAATAACATAAATCAGCATTTCCCAAACTGGTGTTCCTCAGAACCAGTTCCAAGAGTTGTTTTGTGGGTAAAAGAAGAGTTCTGTGGTTAAATAAGTGGTGGGAAACTCTGAGTTCAGTGCCCTTCATTACACCATTTCACTTTTACTGAAGTCTTCTCAGGGCCTCCTATATGTTAATGTGCACTATAAATTCCCAAAGGGGAGTATGTGTGAAACGTTGCCCTTACACATAACATATCCTTTAAGTAAAGTTCCCAAGGAAATGCTGATATAATTCAATACATAAATTTGACATTTTATGTAATCTTTCAAAATAAAGACTAGAGCAAAAAACTATGAGTAGATTTCTCCTAGTGTCAGCATATTAAGAGAAGCATCATGACATTAACTACATAAATTAAGGAAATAAAATAGTTCAGGAAGAAAAAATGTATGTACTAACCTGCTCTCGAATCTGGGAAGTAAGGTTTTCAATGTCTCCTGTAAAGTGTTCAAGCCTTTGTTTGTAAATTTTAGATGCCTTTTTCAGGGCACTAGTTTTTTGCCTACTCAATTCTTTCATTGCTACAGTCTCATGCTTATTCTTTTTCAATTGCAAGTTCCATTGGTATATCCTGGTCTCTAAGCTCTAAAAAAAAAGTCAGTAGCAATTAAACTATTTTAGAATTCCAATATTTATGTAAACATTGCAAAAATATGTAAATAATCTTCCACTTGAGGTTAGAGGATTCATCATATGGTTAATAAAAAGACAAAACAGTAAAGAAAGGTGATTTCATCAATGTTTATCTGTAACCAATTATAGAATGCAAATTTAAAATACATAAGTCTAGATAAAACTAATACTGCTCTTTTTATAGATACCGATATCAGTGATTATGGTACAAACATAACTTCCTTAAAACAGCTGTGCTTAACTGAACTTCATATCTAGACTATGACACATGATACTAGTTACTTCAAATCAAAAAAAAATTGTGCTGGAGACAATGCAAACAGTAGGTACATAAAGCTCAAAGGAATTAGTAGCTTACAAAAAATATGATAAAAAATCTATAGATCATGAAGGGTATGGATGAGATGTATTTACCAAAATGTTAACTTACAAGAATTAAGGGGCATGTCTTGACACTTAAGAGTTCATAAAGGACAATAAAAGCACTGCTTTACCCAATGAGTAGTAACTTTATGGAAGTTACTATTCTAAGAGTAAACAAGGTTTAGGGTAAAAGAATGTGTGAAGGTATGTTTCTATCCACTGAATTTAATGGTGTTAAACAGCAGGACTGTTTTCTCGATGTGCACCTCTTGATGACATAAGGAGAAACAGAAAATTAGGCTCGGTTGATGATAGATATGATTAAGTGTGACTACTCCCATATTTTTTCTACATTATTTTAAGCATTTGTGTCTAAAGTATTTGGGTATTAAGTATCTAAGAATGTAAAGACTTAAGATTTTAATGCTTTTACATTCTTGAAAGTTGTGTAACACTGAAAAGAATGCAAAATTATTACAGATTTATGTTTTAGTCTTCCATTGGCTGGACAATCATTTTAATTTGAAAAAAATCAAAGAAGTCATGGTAGAAAATGGGGGCTTTACTACTTAACTCTGCTAAACAATTTCTGCTTCATGACTTCTACTAAAGTTGAGATATTTTTATTGTTGTTCCAGTTACAGTCGCCTCACTCCTTTCCCCATTGCTCTCCCTTACCCCATCCCCCCCTCACAGTCAACACCCCCACCGTCCGGTGCCCATGAGTCCCCTATTCCTGTTCCCTTGCTTGCCCCTTCCACTTCCTCCCCGTTATCACTCCCTCCTCTTAAACAAGATTTAAAGACTTGATTTCTCTGAAAAGTAATTAGGTAGACTAAAAGAAGCAAAAGATTCTTAAATTGTCTTTAAAAGTCTATGTTAAACTAAAATATCCAAGGAATGTTTAAATAAGCCATTGGGGAAAAACAGGAAGAGCGCTGCAGTAAGTCTCCTTCAGAGAAGTGAAGACCCCACAGGCAAAACAGCTGTCATTCCTCAGCGAGACCACAGGGTGTCATCAGCACACCATGAATAATTGCTATACCTTTAAAAATCTTTTTAAACACTAAAGGCAAAGTAAATTTTTTTTAAAAAAGATTCCAGTCAAAATTTTCTCACTAGATTACCAATCCCACACTTAAACACCATTACAGAGTATACTGAAACTATCAAATTATTTTTATAGTTTCAGAATAAATAACCCCTTAGTCTTTTGCCAAATGAACAGACATATTTTAGGTCAACTGCTTGCTTTTTCACATTTCTAATACATACTGCATATTATAAAAATAATTATTCTCTGTATCTTCTAAAATGTGAAAATATTCTAACACTAAGTGCTATATTATAAAAATCTAGGGAAAAATGGGTTCAAAGTATCTTTGGGGTAGTTCTCAGAGAATTATAAAAGAACCAATATAATGAACTGACTCAGCAATACTAAAAAACTGAGATTAATGTAGTCAAACTGAGTTCCTTGTGTTTTTACTCAAAAATAACTTGTTAAACCAAAATTGAAGAATTAAATTCTGACCTGAAATTACTTAATTCCTTAAATTCCAAAAGTGTGTAACGTGGAAAGTAGAAAAATCAGTAACCTAATGAAACTTCTTTTGATAATTTCTAAACAGTTGAATTTTTAAAAGTAATTTGAACTCAAAATATCAATACTATACAGGAGACTGTCATTGAAAAATTTTGGGATTTTAACTTTATATTCTTTCCTTAAATTATCAGAAACAGAAAAAGTAACTGTTAACTTTTTTAAAAAAATCACTGAATATGAGAAAACAACTTCAAAAATTTCCCCAACTGCTATTTGAGAACATAAAAATTGTGTAGATAATTATTTGAGATATTAAATCACACATATTCTCTCATATTTATCATGTTGAGCAATGAAATAGCAACTGTAATTCACATGCAATGCCCTGGGATCCTGATACAAAGGACACCGGGAAATCTATGGGGGAACGTGCCTAAAAGCACAAGTAGGAGGACAGAGGACAAATTTTACATCCCCTATAAGCCTGTTAGTGCCTCTCTGAAGAGCAAAAGCTCACTGAAAGAAAAAAAACAACACCCCAAATGCACTCATGAAACATGTGCCACAGATTGGAGACATCTGCTGATTCAGGAGTACGAAAGCAGACAAATTTAACACAGAAGGCCTCATACTTGGTAGGATTTGTCTTTGTATAAAGACAAATTTGTGTCTTCTCAGACCACTGCTTGATTTCCTTTGGCAAAACTAGTGACAGCAAATCCAAAAATCTAGTGTCATATCATAGCAAACTCAAATTCTTACCACAAGTGGCTGTATGGCTTCCTAAAAAATAAACACTCAGTTTAAACCAAAAAGTTCACTTGATTATCTAAACACCAAACACTAAACAGCAGGATAACTGATTTTAAAGTTATTGCCATTAGCCCCGGCTGGTATAGCTCAGTGGATTGAGTACAGGCCTGTGAACCAAAGGGTCACCGGTTCAATTCCCAGTCAGAGCACACGCCTGGGTTGCAGGCCAGGTCCCCAGTGGGGGCCATGTGAGAGGCAACCACACACTGATGTTTCCCTCTCTTTCTCCTTCCCTTCCTCTCTCTCTAAAAATAAATAAATAAAACTTTTAAAAAAATAAAGTTATTACCATTAGTACCAAACACAAAAATAATAAACATTTATTTAACACTTAACTAAATATATGTATGTACATTGCATAGATGTACAAAAACAAGACTGGAATACTATATGTCAAAATGTATTTTTTTTTTGTAGATGAATTCAAGGTTTGTTTTTTTTTGACATTTTTTTCAATTTTATTTTATTCATTGTTCAAGTACAGTTTTCTGTCCTTTACTCCCATCCCAGCCCACCCACCCATCCCTCCCCACCTCCCTCCCATATTTTTGAGTTATTTTTAATGTTCTCTTTAATATTATACAAATTATCCACAATAACATAAATTAACTATATAGTGGGAAAGGTTTTCCAAGAAACTCAAGCTCTACAAATCTTTCCTAGAGTAGTACTAAAAAGAGACAGATTTTTATATTAGGATTTAGAGGCAAATCTTCAGACAGCCCAGAAATCTTAAGTTTCAGTTCTGCCTCAAATACGTATTTCCCACGGCAATACTTAAGTTGAATTCTTTCAAAACCACCAAATTCCAGAATTAAGGAAAGGCTTTATAGTAGATCATTAACTTATTACAAACTATAAAAATTGATGAATATTTATAACCTTTATATATTCTTTTAATTTGTCATTCTCCTCTTCCTTTTTATGGATTTGGAGTTGTAGTCGTTCATGCACGACTTTAACTGATTGTGCAAAACGGTTGGCTTTCAAAGCATTTGCCTAAAACAGAGGAAACAAAAATAAAATGTGTTATTTGATATATTTTTCCACAATCTTTAACTTACCTGCATTCAGACATGATCTAAATAGCTGATAAAAAGCAAAGTAACATGTCACATAAACGGTGGCACCTGCCCCACCACCGCAACTGTGTTCCAAGTAAAGCTATTTGGGACATTTTCTCCTCCCTCCTTTTATTTAATAGCTCCTGATAATTACCTCTTTTTAAAAATTCCTACAAGTGTTCCTAAGTCAAATTATGGGTATGTCTAAAATGCTGCACCATACAAATTTACACATAATTCCTAACACATAGTGATTTAAACCAAGTACCTTAACAAAAACAACATAAAAATCTAAAAATAATTTTTTTTAAATTAAGATGTGCTATTTGTTACATTATTTGTGTATTTGCAAAAACCTTTTTGTGTCTATTTCTGAGGACATGGGAGCCAGGGTGGAAAGAAAGGAGTCAATATCAAGAAAATAGATAACTTAAGGTCAAAATCTGCTTACCTTTTCATTCTGAAACAAACAAGAAAGTTCTTGGATATAGGCCTCCTTTTCAACTACCTTCTTCTTAAGATCCTTCAGCAAATATAATATTAGAGTCAGGAAAATCATAAACAACATTGGCTAATCTTACAGACAAACAGCATACAAACAAAAAGGTCAGAAGAATAGATACAAAGTGTAAAAAGACTTACAGTATTTTCACTTTCATTATCAATTAGCTTCTCTAACATGCTGGATAAATCTGTGTCATCTACCTGTGAAAAATACTGCTGTAAGTCAGTGTTCATACACTATATTTCTCAATATAAAAAAATAGAAACTGAAATAAGCATCAGTTAAAAAAGGAAAAAGGACTCATGGACATGAACAACTGTGTGGTGATTACTGGGGGTAGGGGGTATAATGGGACTAAATGGTAATGGGAAAAAATATAATACAGATTAAAAAGAGTATCGCAGGTTCGATTCCCAGTCAGGGCACATGCCTGCGTTGCAGGCCATGGCCCCCAGCAACCGCACATTGCTGTTTCTCACTCTCTCTCCCTCCCTTCCCTCTCTAAAAATAAATAAATAAAATCTTTAGAAAAAATTAAAAGACAAATAAATTTTTAAAAAGAAGTAAGTATCAATTAAGAAACTAATATGATTATGTGCCCTGGCTGGTGTAACGCAATGGATTGAGCGCAGGCTGCGAACCAAAGAGTCGCAGGTTCGATTCCCAATCAGGGTACATGCCTGGGTTGCAGGCCATGACCCCCAGCAACTGCACATTGATGTTTCTCTCTATCTACCTCCCTTCCCTCTCTAAAAATAAATTAAAATCTTAAAAAAAAGAAACTAATATGATTATGTCAATTATACCTCAAAAAAGCTAAAATAAAAAAGAAACTAATATGAACAACTATACTGCACAGTTCAGATTTTTTTAAATGTTAACATCAGAAGGATTTTTGCCTAAGTGTTCCAAATTATGTTTTGTCCACAATTCATAAAATTAGTTAATTTAAATAATGCCACAGAAAGTACAGGCCAATGACATAAAAATCACAAAAATCTTATATTCAGAGCAAGCTCACAGTGCTGTTAGTGAATAGGTAAAAATTATAAACATCCTAATTCTACCAATAAGAATTATTTTTATTCATGGCAAATCAGTAACAGAATTTATGTAGACATACAAAATGAGAACACAGAAGAATGTTTGTTTATTTATTTGAGTGTTATACTCCTGTTTGAGGATGTGGAAAAGTTATGGTTTCTTTCACCTAAAAGCACATATGCAGGTGCATGGAATGCAAATTTGTGTTCACAGTGTCAGAGAGGTCATGGACCTTCGTGAAGCCCATCCAGGTGCTCTGTGAGGTCACACAGTGGACCTGCCTGGAATCTGTGTTTTCACTTCTCTGGGTACACACCTCACAAATGAATGTTCACAGCAGCTTCATTCATAACAGCCAAAAAGTAGAGGCTATCCAAATGGACATCAAATGAGGAATGGACAAATAAAAGTGGTATGCCATACATAAATAAACTCATAAATAAAATATTATTTAGCAAGAACGAGGAATGAAGCACCGATACATACTAAAACATGGATGAAATTTGAAAACATTGTTAAATGAAAGAAGGCACTTAGGAACAACCACATATTCAATGACTCCATTTATGGGACATGTCCAGAATGGACAAATCCATAGAGACAGTAAGTATATTAATGGGCTAAGGAGGGGTGGGTAGGGATGGGAGGTGGACAACTAAAGGGTATCGAGTTTTTTTTGTAGTGATGAAATGCTCAACAATTGACTGTGGTGACAGCTACACAATTCTGTGGATATCCTAAAAATCACTGAATCGTACACTTAAATGGTAGAACTATATGGTATGTGAATTACATCAGCACAAAAGTGTTAGCAAAAAGAATACATAGATGTATAAATATAATGTACACAAGAGCTTACATTCTATGAGTATTTTAGTATAATTGGCTGAATGACAACATTATAACAAATAATTGAAGTTTTTGATATAGATAATAAAAATATCTTTCTATAAAAATACATTGCAATACATGTAGAACTATTTATGAAACATTAAAAGTAAGGGTTAGTTTAATGATTGCCATTTCCAAAAAATTTAAGAATTATTTCCATCTTAAATATACCAATATTTTAACTTCTACAGTTTGAAAAATAATATAGCCTTCAAGTGAGAAATTCCGCTATTAAATTAGTGGTTAATATTCCTTACTTGTTGGTATTCTGGCTTTCTAAGAAGATGTTCTAAAGCTTGTTTTGCGCGTTTAAATGTATCTAATTCTTTTGTTAATATTTCCTTCTGTTTAAAAATCTTCTTCAAATTGGATGGAGAAAGATCAGCCTGACAAAATACAAAAACCACATCATATTTAAGACATAGCATTAGCACACTAAAATATGTTACTTATTATCAAAGAGTACTTTCTCCTAGTGACAAAATCATTCTTTTGTACATAGTAATAGTCAACGCTGCCAAGTTTATTAACAGCAATAGAATCTGTTACATGGTACATTACAGTAAAATGAAATCAAAATAAGAGATTAAACCCTAAAGTATTTCAAGCATTTATTTTAATAAAACTAATAGAATGCAATCTATTTTTTTGTCCTTACCTCAAACGTTAATATACAAAATTTTAGATTTCTATTCCACAAAACATTATAGAAAACAGATATATTTCATCTTTCAGAATATTTTGGTTTTAAATTTACTCTTGAGAAAAGTTGACTCACTAATTCAACTCCAGGTAAGTCAAGCACTGAGGTATACAGTTTCTACCTTAACCTCTTATCAAGTGCACTCCTGAAACTACCTCTGAGGTAAAGAACTGTGGAACAAAGAACACCGGTAAGCCTGCATTTTTTAATATCCAATACCAGCACGTGCACATAACTACATTAAGATATGAAACCTCAGTTAGTGCAATCTGAGCATTATGCTAGCTTTTCATTTTATTAGATATTCGCAAGTACTCACATTTTCAAAACTAATTTCTTCAACGGTGTCCTTAAATAATGGTAAAAGTAATTCCATAGAAAAGGCTGCCAATTCGGCTTCCTTAAATGTTGCTTCCAACTCAGTCTTTACATTTAGGATGCCCTGCTTTACACTAATTAGATATGCAGAAACAAAACTCTAATTAAATCTGTCAAATAAACCAGTTGTATTTTCATGAATATATATAGCATACCTTTAACTAAATATTACAGTTACCTAAATTGCTCTGCAAAATATAACAGTAAATTGTCATTGAAAATGTAATGGATTTTTCTATACTACTATATTTTTTCTACATTTACTATAAACAGAGAGACAATTTTTAAAATGGTAAGATATATAAAACACAGAGACCACCAACAGTAATGCTTTCATTGTGCTTTTGATAATTATTCAACACCTCTTCTCTAGTTTGTAAAGCAATTTGTGGGAGTGTCTGTCTTTTTTCCTTCCCTTCATTTTCCCTTACTCCAAACCCAAAAGACTGGTCTTTCTAGACCTTATTCCCAAACCCTTTCTTAAAAGTTACTGCTCTTCACAAACTATTCCCCCAGAATGAATAAGCTAAAGAAAAGGATAACAAAAAAACTACATCTCTCCAGCTATCTAAAAATCCTTCATATTTGGCTTTATAGTAATTATCATTTAGAACAAAACTGATAATATTTGACTTCATTATGTTTTACCTAGACACAACTGTGTATCATTCTAAGACACATCTTTACATCCCGAAATCAGGTGCTTCTCACAATCTCCCTCCACAGCTCAGGAGGAAGCCTGAGCTCTCTATCCTGCACACGCCCCAGGCTTGTAAAAGGAATATCCGATGCTTTGCCAAATACCCCAGAGACAGGGCACAACATTTGTTTAACCCCTAGGAAGGGAGGGTCATGGAGAGAGGCTGCAGGAGCTGGTGAAGGAGGAATGTTTAGCAATATTCCAGAAGCAAGACTCCAATGTAGGCTTGCTGTATATTGTAATTAAGAGCCCAACAGCAAGAAATTTTATTCCAGTTAAAGACATTCCTAAAAAATGTCAATCACCAATATTCTTAATAGCAAGGACAACTTGAGTCAAAAAGTGACTCAGAAGAGTTGGACTTGAATAGAGAGAAGTTTTGAGAATACCTTAACTCATTTATTATACTTTTATTTTTACATAGGCACATATTTGGAATAAAAATCTATGTATAATTAATGAGCTTTTTAAATGTTTATAAATAAAATTCTGAGTCTGTCTTCAATTGGCAGCTCTTTTCTTTCTTTATGGAATATATATAATGGCTCATCAGCATTTGATGGCATCTTAGAGGCTATGTCAAAAAGTAGACTGTGTTCTTACGCACCACTGGCTTAAAGTGATGGGCCCATGAAGATGCTGGCTGTGAATGACAATTCCCCATTATTAAAAACCATAGGCAGAAAGTCAAGAATGATTATATATGTGCAAATACCTTCTTTTTTAACAAAGTAAACTAGAAGTTGGTCTATACCATCCATAGTAACAATAATTGTATTTTAAGATTGTCATTTTGGGGAACAATGAGTCATATAAATAACAAGTATATTCCCCATTCTAAAAAAGCAAACCATGCCAGGTATTTCTTAAACAGCAATATACCAAGTGACAGAGAATTGATACTCATTAACTATATATCCAATATTCCATAATTTATATCTTCATTTACCTTAGTTAAAACACTTTATACTTTATAAATTCTTAATAGGTAAGGTTTTCATTTTTAATTGCTTTCCTTGAGAATCAAAAAAACTACCCAAATTCTCCTAAATAAGTACATTGTAATCAAATTAAATCAATACATTAATTACTAGACTTGAAGGAGTTATTCTTGAAGAAATGCTGTATTTGATTCAAATAATTTACAATATGGACAAAACATGAAACCCTGAAACCAGAAAATTAGACATCCCCTATTGTTGAGAATACCAGCTGAGATGACTTTCACTGGTGTGCTGTGGTACATGTTCTCTCTCCAATCTAATTTTAAAATGGGAAAACAGTTCTTCTGAATGACTTCCACCATTTGTAGGCTCCTCCATAAATCTGGTAGATGAATTACAGGTGGCTTCCACAACAACCTCTCCACACAGGCTGAAAGTCAGGAAATATTTTAGTTATTACACTTATTGTTCCATTAGATTCTTTTTTATGTCATTACCTTATAATAAAAATCTAAAGATGTATAAACAAGTAATATTTCACAAATTGAAACTCATAACTGCTACTCATTGTGATACTAACTCAAAATAGTATCCAAACTGCATAGCACATTCAACAGTTGCCAGTTTCCATACACAGTCTCCAAAAAGCCCACTATTTTCTGTATAGTCACAGAATGTAGAAACCTTTATTAATCTATTTTTTGAAGTATTATAATAACATCTTAATCCAGTCAGACTAGAAAATGGATATAAAAAACCATACGCTCACTATAGTACTCAGTTTAATTACAACCATCCAACAGGAAATGTATATTATTTATGCCTAGAACAATAGATATTTAACATACTTTTATAAGTATTTGACAATAATAGCTACAAAGAAGATAAGTTATTCCTTTAAAAGTAGACCTTTCAAAATTAAATTCATTTACTCCTACTTTCCAGCTCAATCTAGTATATTCTTTGGTGATAATGAATAGAGAGATGGCATTACTTCTAAGTTTTACTCATTTAGTTGCTTTCACTCAAATTTGGAGGTGTCATTTTAAATGTGAGTATTTATAAATTTTTTAAAGCCATTCTAGTTTAAGTAATGCATATTTCAGCAATCATTAAGGCTGTGTTCTCACAACTCTAGTATATAGTAATGTGTTCCTGACTTCATTTTATGTTTATATGAAATCAAATGTTGCATTTAAGATTTTCTGCATTTTTTCAGAGATAGTTACCTCTTTGTAATTTATTTTTATATATCTGGGTTATGAAATCCATATGTTCAAGAATTTTCATACTTTGGGTAAATGTAAAATAATAGGTTGAAAATTATTCAAAATATTTAATTAGTGATTCAAAAACCTTCCAAAGTATGTGTAAAAATGTATTTATTTTTGTCTGAAGATTCTATGTACCACAGAGGCAAATATTTAGGATACAGGCCAAAGAAAGCATGCTCATATTTTGGAAATGCCACCAATTCATGTCCAAATGAAATTGCTGACTAACCTACAGATAGTCTAAAATGATGTAATCAAATGCTGCATATATGCCACATCCATTATTAGGGAATAACAATATTGGAGCTATCTACAGTCTAGAAGAATTAAAAATATAGATATACAAAATCAAGGAAACTAAACCTAAGGGTAAAGAAGAATATGTTCTGGATAAACCACTGCAATCAAGAGAATTATCATCTACTGATTTGTTCAGTTGCAATAGCTTCTCGACTCAAGAGAGGAACTGGTGTTTATCTTTCAGCCATCCTCTTGTTTAAACAGCTTTAAACTTGTGTAAACATTGCCGAATCCTCGGCACCTATGTGCCTTGTAAAAGTCGAGTAATAACTGAAGGAGAGGACTTAAGACACAGAGCAGTTAATGAACAGGATGAATACAGACTGTTCTTACTCATTCGCACTTTGATTCATCTTTTGGGGGATCATTAAAAGAAAAATGGTTTCCATCTTTGGAATAAAATTTCAAAAAACAATGTGAGTGGATAGGTAGCTTCAATTTGTAGGAAATATTTTATGAGATAAGATTCGATTTGGTAGCAGTATTTTAAAGACATTCTTGACCTACCCTTGTCTCCTGACAGCTACTTATACAATATTCCTAAAAAATTTATCACAAGATAAAATCATACAACCTTTTTCTTCTTCATTTATGAAAGTAATTGTGTCTTATCTTAAAGGATAAACAAATAAGAGTAACACAATGTAAAAATAGATCTGAGAATGACTTTGGCCCAACATTTTAAAAGGTTATCTTCATTACTGAGTCCTCAAAATGTGAAATAGAGAACTGTATAAATGAAGTCTCAAATATTTCCAGAGAAATAATCAACAATCAATTCTTACAATTTAGAAATATTTTCCAGGATAGAAATCGTTCAGAGGTTCCAAGACACTCCACCACTTTTGTGTTGTGACAATACAATAACCGAAAACACATGTGCTGAACAACAATGCAGTAATTTTCTTTAGCATAAAAAGTCCTACCTTATAAAATCATCTTAATGGACCAAATGTATTCTTGTATGGAAAAGCAGATGTTTCAAAAGAAAATGTTTTCAATTATGTAGTATATACTGCCAATTGACAAATGTATAAACAATATTTTTATACAACTTGCTAGTGGTGAAACAAAGATACATATTCTGCACACATATTTAATGATCAAATCCCTAAAGATTAGAAATTCTAAAATATTTTTAATGTTTAGAGGATTAAATTTCCTATACAGAGATGACTTTACCAGTCCCCTACCAAAAGGCATGTACTTAAAGCTTTTTCCAGGAGTGGTCATGGGTTTATGCTGATCCAGCTACACTCACAGAACTATGTTCCATTTTGGCCAACGACAAGCATTTGAAGGATGGCCGCTCAGGGACCGCGATGCTGGCCATGGTCAGAGAAAAGAATGATCACAGTCCATGACCTTCCTTAGCACCTAGATTGTTTTAAGTAAACTAACCAGCTGCAAACAAATATGTATTTAAAACCAATCTCTTTGATGAGAAAAGTGTATTAATCTTGCAGGTTTCAATTATTTGCTGCCAAACATTAATTCTTGGAAAATTAGCTTCCATTGGCTTCAAACAAAAGAATAAATCTTCTACAGAAAAAAAAAAATCCACTATGAAATATTCAGCAAGGAACACAAAATAGATATAAGAATCCTGATCTTCCCTCTCACTATTCTAGACACTAGTCAAAAGATTACTAGCAAAGTAATTGTATGGCTTTTTAGACTCCACAATGAAAAAAATTTATAGGAAATTTGAAAATAAGCAAAGAGTAACAACGAACCAAAGGCAGAAAATTGATCTTATGAGAAAAAGCTACTGTAAATGAAAAAACAAAACAAAACATTTTTCGATGCAGTTTAACTTAGATACAGTCCTGCAGCACTTAATGATGGAGATACGTTCTGAGAAATGCACCGTTAGGCAATTTCATCACTGTGCAAACATCACAGAATGTACTCACACAAGCCTAGGTGGTATAGCCCATTGCTCCTAGGCTACAAGCCTGTACAGCATGTTACTGCACAAAACAACACGAAATTCTATCAAGCACAAGAGAAATGATGTAATCTAGAAACATGGTAAACAGATGTATGAGGCTGCTGCTGGCATAAGACAGCATACTGTTTTACAGCAAATATTTTTTTATAAGTAGAAAGAGTACACTAAAATAAAAAGTGTGGTGCAGTGAATACATAATCCAGTAACAGAGTCCTTTACTATCATTATATCATTATCAAGTATTATGTACTGTACATAATTATATGTGTTATACTTTTATGTGGCTGGCAGCTCAGGAGGTTTGTTTCAACAGCCTCACCACCAACACGTGAGTAATGTGTTGTGCTCTGACACTGGGATGGCCATGACATCAGTAGGTGACAGAAACGTTTCAACTCCATTATAATCCTATGGGACCAGCATCATTTATGCAGTCCAGTGTTGACTGAAATGTCATTATATGGAGCATGACCATAAATAACTAGCTAAATCCTCTATCCAATGATAAAGTAATTTAAATATAAAACAGCTGCAGATTAAACAGGGAAAAAAGCTGACAGCAAGAATGACTGATTTGTAAACAATGGATTCATACTCCATGCCCCAGTCTCTCTTCCTTCCCAAAGTATTTCCCTGACTGCTCCCAACCATCAAGAATCCTAAACATCTAATAGTATTTTCAGAATCATACAGTTTAGAATTTAATTGCTCCATAGTGCTCATATTTTTTTTTGTCTTTTAACTTGCCACTAAGTCTGTAGGAGCAAATATCATACCCATCATCCTCGGCCCTCAAAAATGACCTAACACTGAAGGGCGTAGGTTAGGTTCCAATATATGTTTGGTGATCAAATAATTTGTTATTCAAACCAAGACACTTTTGAAAAGAAAGGGGCCCCATATAAAGCCCAATTATCTAGAAGAAGATTGGCCCAAAGTTGTTCAGAATAGCCTAATCCCAAGCAAAGTAAGTATCCTTTATCAGATAAACTTAAGGCATTTTCCATCCCTTCAACATGAGGACAATTGTCCTTTATTAATGGAGCACTGGCTGATCTTATACATATCATCTCACAAAAATCCTTGTCAGGTTGCTATTAATATTAATATTCAAAAGATACAGATAAAAAAAACAAGTTTTAGAAAAGTTAAATAGCTTGCCTGCCCACGATTATAAATAAGGAAGTGGTAGAACTCAGTTTTGAACCAAAAGCCATAAGATACTAAGATATAAATATAATAATCTACACAGTAGAAAATAACATACAAACTTGCCCTAACCCAGTCAGGTTTCAACCACACTATTACATATTCAGTTTATATTTAAAAATAAAAAATGTTCTGTACAAGTAAACAATGAGTAAGATTGAACTCTTTGAAGGCAGAGACTCCAAGTCTAAAGAGAATATACAGGCAGTGAGGGGACCACTAAAACCCGGTGTGCTAAAGGCTGTGACAGGGAACTCATGAGGTGCCACGAGAGCGTACAGGATGCCTAACACCAACTGGCAGGAACCTGGAAGACTTCCTGGAAAAGGTGGAACCTCGGTCAAGTCCTGCAGAACAAGTTTAAGTTTGGCCAAACAGAAGAGCAAAAGGCATTCCAGGTAAAGGGTAACGTGCCAGCAAGAGCAAGGAATCATGAGGGAACACGGATTACAAAGATGAGACTGGACAGGCTGAAAACAGTATCTGTATGGCAAACACAAGGATTTTTTCCTACAGGTTAAGACAAACCATTACATAATTTTAAGCAGAGGAATGACAGATTAGAAGTGCATCTTTAAAGACAAATCAAGTGGTATTTTGGGGAATGACTAGGCATATGAAAGAGAGGAAAGCAGAAGCAGTGAAACTAGTTATTAGGGTCTCAAAGAGATGAAATGTCAACATTCTTTCCTATAAAAATTTTGAAGAAACCAAGTTGTTTCCAGTGGTGATAAAAAAAAAAAAAACATGAAGAACACTGAAAGAATCAGAATTAGAATGCCAGACTGGCAAGAGATCAGTACAGAAAGAAGTGATCAAATATAACACCTCATTTACCCATGACCATCTGAATCAATTGCTCCACATACAAGTTCTAGAAAATGATAGCTTATCCCTTTAAGTACCAAAATTAACTTAGACCAGATTGAAGAAAATCTTTTAAAAGTATTATTTTTTCCCTTTCAAACACAGCACAGGTAGACGGAATATAAGTAAAACCATTCCTTGATGACCCAGATGCAGCATATTAAATGGAAAGAATATTGAGCAAGACTCATCAGTTTTTGGTTCTTGAGCCACCTGACATGGGCAACCCTTAGCCACAATGGGCCTTGGTTTACAAAATGAGACTAATCTTTGTCAGCCAAAGCTGTGGTGGGGTTCAAACAAAATGAGGTAGAAGCACGGACAGGCGAGGGTTTTTTGTTTTAGGGTCTCTTTGGTTCACTCTGTTGAGGCTATTTTCCCATCAAGTCTTTCCTTTAAACTTTTTCATCCTTTTTAAAAATAATCATCCTCAGTCAACTGCCATTCCTGTAATTACTTGTAGGCCTGAATTATCTGTATAGAACCAACTTTTTAAAAACAATTTTTGAGACCTATTATTTGCAGGATTATTACAAATCATCTTCAATGTAGTCATAAATTGACTACTATTGAAAATACCACTAAAGTACTACTAAACCAGAACCCAGTGAAAACAATTACTAACTTCCAAAAGAATTGTGCCCAGCAGGTGGACGTTATGCCAACTTCATTGCTATACCCAGCTTCCAGGGTCTCATTCATTTGTACAGACCAAGCACAATGATTAATAATAATATAAACAGCTATCTTCTCATACTTTTGGGCGTTTGGGATACAAAAACAATACCATTAATATACACCAATTGCAAAAGCAGAGGAAAAGGAGAAACAAAAAATGGACACCTGTTAAAGAATCACAAACATGGCATTTTTATAGTAAGCAGAAGGGAATCAGACTAATTTTAAAAGTAAATAGGCTTCCTGCGGTTTGTTCCTTTAACCGTAACTAGCTCGGTGGTGCTTAAAACTACTCCAGGTGCCTCATTCATTCAAAAACACCTGAAACGTTACTATGCATGAGGTTACAAGGAAACTGTCTCAACAGACTTCATTCTCAACACCAGCCACCATGTGGTTTCTCAGTAAACAAGCAGCACCATTTACTAACCACGGACACTCAAAACCTGGCACTGATTTACTTAATCTCTCTTATTACAACCACTCCAAAGTAGCTATCATCGTCCTCATTTTACAGAAGAGAAAACTGAAGCAAGGATTATTAAATGAACTGTCCAAGGCCACACACCTGAAAGGGTCTCCTATAGGCTGGAACCTAGGATCCTGGAGAAGGAATTATTTCCTGAGGCTTCCAAAGTGTTCTTCACTTTGGGAGCCCCAGGGCCTACTAGGGTCTGCTATATTATATAGTGGATGCTTAAAGACTAGTCGAATGAGTAAAACCAGTATTTCGGAGAGAAATACTGTCGAGCCCGGCCGGCATGGTCAGGGCTTCATTAAGAAGCCCACCCAGGCTAATATCCGCTCTGATGTCCCAGGGACTACATCCTTTCTAGCAGTATCTGAGCCTCGCAGCCTTTTTCCAGCCCAGGCAGCCAGTCTCGGGGGAGCGGAGGGTGTGGGCACAAAGGGGGCATGATGCGGTCGCGCCCGGGATGAACTCGAGCGTCTTTCATTTCCGGGTTCATCACTGCCACCGCACCCAGGCCCCAAAGGAAGGCTGCGGTAACACCCCAGCCTCTTCTAAACCCAAACTTCCCTCTCCCAAAAAAACACGTCTACGCCCCCACCGTCGCGTTAGCACGTCGCTGTGACGTCAGTCCGCCACCGCTCCCGCCACCGCTCCGCAAAAAGCGGAGTTCGAAATGGGTCGCAAATGCTGGTGGTCCGTGAACGTTAGTGAAGCCTCGGCAAACGTACCTGAGATCTCTAGCTCTGGGTCAGCTAGGAGGGAGCGGGACGCAGGGGGCGGTGCAGTGGATGAAAGCTTAGAAAGGAAGGCAAGGGACCTGAGGCGGAAGCAGGCGAATTCCTAGAACGGCTTGCGGAGGAAGAGCACCCGCTTAGGTGAACTGGGACGAAAGCGAAGCTAGTAACCAGCAAGTAGCTTCTCTGGCAACCCTCGCCCCGCCCCTTCCGTCTAGTACAGCTGCGGTAGCCAATTGGCTAGGCTCGGAAAACCGGTGTCGGAAAATTTTGCTATTCGCGGGAGTAAGGGGCGGGACCTGGGCATAGCTATCTGTCCGTTGCTGCACTAGTTTAACTTTTTCCCTAAGCCTTTTGTTTTGCAGAAGAGCTTGTGGTTACCAAAAGTCTTACCTGAGCTCAACCAGAAGTGGAGGTAGATTGCAAATGTTCTGACGCTTGGCCTGGAAGTGCCCTGCTTTCGCCTTTTTAAAAAAATTTTATTTATTGGTGAGAGAAAGAAACATGGATCTGTTGTTCCACTAATTTATGCACTCAGTGGTTGACTCTTTTATGTTCCATGACTGAAGGTCAAACCTGCAACAGCTAGTATCAGGATAACGGCTCTAAAAAGCCACCTGGCCAGGGCTGCTTTTGTCTTTCAAAGGGGAGAGTTTAAAAAGCCAAGGCAACCACTACTGAAACCCCTACTCATTTTAAATGTATGAAATTGTTAACTGGAATCCTTCCCCGTGTCTGTATTTTCTTTGGTTAAATGAGAGAGCCTGAAGGTTATCTCCAATATACCTTTCAGGACTCATTTCTTTGCATTTGTGGTAGAGTAAGCTGGTATGGTTTATAATCTCCACAAAAAGCAAGGCCAGATTTTATTTGGAAAAGTATAAAACTTTATCTATCACTTCAAAGTCAGAGTTAAGGATTGTACACCATCATATTCACAGATAGAAAACTATCAACTGAGCAATATAACTAACTATGGTATACCTAATTACTGGTTTTACTAAAAAATATTTTCCATTGATGATTTCAGCAAAGCTTTTTCTTCCACCAGTGTGATTGTCTAGTCAAAAGTTAATGAGAATTAAAAGTTCTTTCATAATAAACACAACTTTCATATATGCAAATAATAAAAAGCACTAGGGGCTGGAGATTTAAGTATCTTAAGTATCTACTCTCTCACTAATGGATCATGACCTCTGGCAAGTCAACTAACTGTTTTTTCACAAAAAGAAAAAAAAAAGAAGAGAGTTGAAGTGGGGAAAGATACATAATTCCAAGGGCTTTTCTAACATTAATCTAGGATTCTAGCTAACCTTGCTAATTTGTCATAATTAGCAAAGTAATTGTAAAAATAAGATTGATCTTATGAAATATATTTATTTTAAACAGGTATTGATATAACCACCTTTATAAGATATGCAAGAGGAAACATTCACAAAATCTCAAAATGATTACATAAGATTATCAAATTGACTATTCTAACTGCATTGTCCTGGTAAAGTAAACATGGGATCCCTCATCTTCTAAATCTAGTCTGTTTCTGAAATCTGCTTGCATAGTCAATTTCAGGAAGATCTCTTATTCTATTGTTATTTAAATGGGAAATAATTCATTCTAGCCCATCCAAATACCCCAACCAAGAGACCTAACAGGTTCTTCTTTCCTCACTTGGAATCCAGGTACCATATAAGAAATCCAATTATCCTGCTGTGGAGCAAAACACTTTTAAGTCACTCATCTGAGGTGCCAGACATGTTAGCCATTAACTTTCCAGATACAGCCATGTTTCCTTCAAGTGCATCCGTGAGTGACCCTAGCCAACGCCATGATCCAAAGGGATGAAAAGAGAAACAACTTCCATTTTAAAGGAATAGATTAATATGGCCACACCATTGAACCGAGAAAATTCAGAAGTAGCAGAACCCTAAATTTTCATAGGGTTTATCTCCCACTATCTCAATTGCATATGTTCTTTCCAATGTATTTTGGTTTCTTTTAACAAACTTGGTGATGTGAAACAACAAATTTTATTCATGATTCTGTGGGTTATAAATTCAGGCAGGGTTCAGCTGGGTGGGTTTTTCCCCCTCCATGTGGCAATAGCTGGGGTCTCTTATCAAGATGCAACCAGATTGCTGCTGAGGCTGGTGTAGCAGAAGATACCCCTGCCGTATCCTTATATTTTAAATTCATTATTCTGTTCTTGGGCATAAGAATTTCTTTGGCTGACCAAGAAAAAATGAGGCATGGTTATGAAATTTCCTTCTTTAAATATATTACTGTTTGACTCTGGCTTTATTAGAGGCTTTAGGAATAAATGTAAGGGATTTAAGTCTCATAGCTTAAAGATGCTATGTGGTCATAAAGAGTATAGACACTCCTTTATTCTTCTATTGTTTGGAGATTAATGTAACTAGAAATTAATTTAAGAGTTAATTAACCATTTAAAGAAAACTCAGAAAATGGTGGACTTGCAAGTGTCAAATATGAAGAAAAAATATTCTTAAGGTACACTGTGGACTTTGGAAACAGAAGATCAAAAAGGCAGGCATACAAATATAAAATTGGTATGGTTTTATTATGGTCTAGTATTCTAAGAAAATCTTCACAAAGATAAAGGGTTAGATTTGTGGTTCGCTTTTTAAAATTTTATTTTAGGCTAGTCTATGTTGCAGCATTGTTCAACAGGTCTTTTCTCCCCTCCATTATTGAAGCTAAGTGTGGTCCTTTCGTATAAAAGAGAAAAATCACCTGGTCAACATTTTGCCTTGGAGGTGAAAATAATATTAATATGTTCATCAAAATATTGTATAGTTTATATATTAAACCACTTTATATATATGTTTGCAAACATTAGTACTTTTTAGAAATTCCAAGGCTATTTCCTAAAGTGCTTTTACCAATTGTAGCATTTTTGGAAGTAACAGGATACCTAATGATGGGTTACAGAACTGGAGTTTCCTTTCATCACATAGTGAGAAGTCTGGAGTTAGGCACTCCCCCGATTGGCTCAGCTGTCTCCGGTATCATCAGGGACACACGTGCTTCACCCTTTCAGCCCTACTACCTTTGCTTTTTGACTGCCCTCCTCACCTTCCACAAATGCCACAGAGGCTCCCTCAGCCTCTAGCACTCTTGTGGGAAAGAAGGGTGGGATTTTTCTAGACATTCCCCTTTTTCATGGAGGAAAATCTTCTCCATAAAGGATCCCAACAGCACCACTTCCTCCTCCTCCATCTGCCTCCTGCTTGCAGACTACTCCTTAGGTTACTGGCTGGAGTCAGGATCACATAGTCGTGTCCCAGCATGAGGGAGGCTTGGAAAAATAGGCATCAGACATTTCTGACCCCTGTCATAAAATGGGTTCCACCAGCATGAAAGAGAAAGAGGCTGAGTATTGGGTAGGAAACTAAAAGTACCCAAGAAGGTGCCACACACACGGAGAAAAGGTCATAATTAATATGGATTAATATTTATTAAACTCTTACTCTGACCTAGATGCTGTTTCAATCTGCACATGAGCTATTTAAACTTTACGCCAATTTTACAAATAGGCATGGAGATATTTAATAACTTACCAAAGGGTTTTGCAGAGCTGTGATTTCAATCAGGCTGACCAACTTCAAAGTCCAATCACTTAACCATTTCCCTGCTGCTTCTAAATGATTCTTATAATACAGGATTAAAGGTGCTTACCAATAAAATGTATGTAATTCAAGGCAGAAGTGGCAGGAAATTTTAACATTCCTAGATTCTGACATTTTACAATCATGTGGTGATAAAACATGTATGTGATATAAAGACATTTAGGATAAATCACGACACAAAAAATAAATTCATTTGTTTATTCTTGGCTGAAAAGACAAAATGCTCCCTAAAAAGATTTTTTAATTGTCAATTCCTCATGATTATTGGTTTTTAAAATACTCCCAATATCTTTGGAGTATGGACACTTAATCTTGGCTACAATGTATCATCCATCGTACAATTTTTGTCTTTAAAATTATTGTGTTTTTAGTAACCAAGTCTAGCATTTTGAAGAATTGATTGATATTTTTTTCTTTTTCCTACCTATGTGACCCTAAAGAATTCCTACTCAAAAACATCCCATTACTTTCTAATAGAGGAAAAAATAGAAACAGCTGTGTAGTAAAAAAAAAACAAAAAAAAACACTCATAATATTTTTAAATAATTGTTCCCTAGCCTATTTGGGGGAGAATAGAAAAAAGGCAGAGGAAGTACTCACATGGGAGACACAAAAAGAACTGGTGAGTAATAAGGTCTAAAGAAAGAAGATGAAAGATGGTCTCAATTTAAGCAAGGCCTTCATTGGAATTTTCTAGTAAGCCACAGCCAAATCTCTTGAAATAATCACAATAGGAGATTATTCAAGAAAACTGGGATCAAAGTAGGTGCTAGAAGCTATGGGATTTGGGAAAAACTTGAAACCTTAGCTATGCCCAGCTAGTTAAATGGAAATAGCAACTTTAGGGAATAGGAACAACATCATAAGAAAAAGAACAGTAGAAGAGTAAATATTTTGACTTTGAATTTAGAGGAGAAGACAGAGATGAGCTGGAGTGGCTTTTGAAGTCATCCAGAAAAACGAGTGCCTAAGCCAGAACAGTGTTTAAAACTCTTATTGGCCAGAATCCCACTTGGGGAGAACATTTTATAAATGTTTGAGGTTGGGGGGCAGGAAGCCACCTAATCCCCCCACCTTCCTGGTTTCGGGTGGTGCCAGGAATTAGAGCAGGGCACTGGCTCTGTTTGTGACCAGGCAGGTTTTGTTGGTGGTGCCTGGCTGGCTGGATTTTCTCTTGAAAGTAAGGAAAAGAGAGAAAAAAAGAGATGACGGTCCCTCAAGATGGAAAGAGGCTGAGGCGACTCAGAGGCCAGGGGAGCTCCGTACTCATAGAAAATTATTTAATGAATGCTGAGACCTTCAGTGATGTAAAAGTTTTGTTTTATTTTCCTTTGACAAATACCTCTTTAGCTTCCCCATGAACTCTTCAATTAAGTCTAAATTTCTCACAAAAACAATATGTACGTGTTTCTTTGGAAAACTCAAAACACTACGTCTGAAACACTGGGAAGCACAGCAGCAGCACATGTGGATCTGGGAAACAGGAGTTTGGAGATGCCAGGTGTCCAGATAGTTACAGGAATCCAGGA